AATGTAAATGAGCCTCTCTCCAAATACAAGCACAGCAATACTTCAAAGCAGACGGCAAATTGAGTCTTCATTTCTGAGTTGCCCTGCCATTATGGGAAGCTTTACTGACAGTTATGAATGTCGCTCATCAAAACACCCTCACATGGTTCTGATAAGTCTAAACAGTACTAGTTTACAGTCAATGTCACTGTCGGCGCAGAGGGCACGAAAGTCGTCTTTTAGATTCATTCCTCAGTGTAATCAGAATGCACCTGTGTTGTCTACTAGGCATTTTCCGAACGCAGCCAAATAAATTTGGTGTCAGCTGCCACAGGAACTGTCCTTCTGAATAACCTGTTGTGTTGTCTAAAATGATTGCGTATTTCAAATACATAGGTGGGCACTTCATTATTTTGCTTGTTTGCCTGCTTGCTTGTAAGTAACACAGTTGCTAGCAAGTTACCTGTACTCAGTCATGGTTTCTCTCTGGTGTCCTCCCGTGTTTTGCGCTTTCTGGACACAGTTCTTTCTGTTTATTAAAAAGAGGCCAGTTGTATTTTGCTCTGTTGCTGCCCATATTGCCAGTGAACACCCTTCTCTTCACAGCCATGGGCTCCTCTGTGTGCCGAACGTGGAGGACTGCCCCAAGCAGCACACACACCGGTGGTGGTTACAGACCTGACAGCTGCAGCCTCCTGCACTCACTTAACAAGACAGCCTGGTTTTACGCTCTGTTCCTTAAATGCTCGGTACTGGCATCCTCTTGGCTACCACCTCACTGAAGCAGATTTTCATTAGCAGTATAAAATAAAAAGCACTAAAGCTCTTCTTTGTGATGAGCTGAACTCTACAGCTGACCTTGCAGAGCTGTGTCCCCCAGCCCTGCTCGTCAGCCCTGCTCTCACTTAACAAGACAGCCTGGTTTTACGCTCTGTTCCTTAAATGCTCGGTACTGGCATCCTCTTGGCTACCACCTCACTGAAGCAGATTTTCATTAGCAGTATAAAATAAAAAGCACTAAAGCTCTTCTTTGTGATGAGCTGAACTCTACAGCTGACCTTGCAGAGCTGTGTCCCCCAGCCCTGCTCGTCAGCCCTGCTCCCAGGCAGGCCATGTTGCTCCCTTCCCAGCCAGGACAATGCTATGCATGGCAGCATCTGGCACAATGTGTGATGGCAGAAAATGCCCCCTTCTAGTGGAGTGGCACTCCACCATGGGGCACAGTCACTGCTTTATCATGCTGTGAAAAGGGGACATAGGAAGGTGTACAAATTATTCCACTTCAGAGTAAGTGTTGAAATATGTGAATTCCTCCTCCACATCTTTAAATTTGGAAAGCTAAATATAGAGAGGGGAAAAAGTGAGGGGAACTATAAATAAGAAATTAGTACATAGGATAAATCTAAATTCAGTCCATGGTACTCAACTCACGCCTCACCAGCATGATGTGGCTGCAGGGAGTGCTGCGCTGCTGCCTGATCTGTTGGCTTCTTTTGTGGTTGTTGGGAATGATGGTTCAGCATAAAATCAGGCTCTTGTAGAAGAAACAATGGACAATTGCTTCTAATAAGATCAGAAGCTAAGGAAATATAAAAGACTTCTAATAATTGCACTGCAGTGAAAGTGTTAGCAATCATCTTTGGATGTCTGATATCCCAAACACACCCCAAGTGCCTAGTACACATTTATGGTACAACACTCACACCTCTTGACTTTCCTACACAGGTGCTTTCCAGACTTAAGCATGCATGTAAATATGGATATTGTGGTCAATTTGCCACACAAATCACTATGTTAGATGCACAGGCAGTTTCTACTCATTCACAAGAGCTTTTTCCAATGGGTATTTCATATTGCAGCAGTCATTTTTAATAACTGAAAATGTTCTTAGGAAAGTTTCAGGGTTTTCCAAGCCTGGATTACAGCTTGAGCCAGCAAGGTGTTGAATTCACAGGATCTGATTCATTGGATTGAAGCATTTCTAGGGCTACTCACATGCTTAAAAGTACAGAGTTATTTGGCCTTGTTTTGCTGCACTGATCGGCGAGATGTTGTGGTGTGAACCCACAGTGGGGACAGGAGGCCGGGTAACAGGGAAGAGCCAGGCCACCCACCACTAACAACCAGCCACAATCACCAAAATTTTATTAAAATTAGTCTGGCTTCCTACGTGATAGAAATAGTGGCACAATCTCAAAATATCTGTTTCTATGGCAGGAGGCTTGAGTAGGTTAAATGCAGTAGCTGCTTAATGTCAGAAGACTTCTGAAGCCATAAAGAACTATTTATCCAGTGTAGCATTTTTTGCCCTCAGGGACAGGTTAATAAAGGTGTAGCTTATCCAGAGGATTTTCATAGATAGCTGAACAAAAAGCCTTTATATTGAAAATGTTATCTGTATTAACAAAGTTTTTATGATCTAAAAAGCTTGCTTTGGGTTTCCGCAAGCCAAAGAGCCTTAGCATCAGCTCCTGCAGTAAGGACAGCCGAGGATCTGGGTCACTGTGCCTAAAATTAATTGATACCACCTGGTGGGAAGGTATGAAAATCATCTTGCCAAGTTGTTCTCAGCTGCTCTCAGACTTCTTATGGGCCCCCACAACTAGAGGTGTGAGTGAGGCTGGCTCAGATCACTGGGAATGTCAAAGAAACTGTGGCAAGGAGCTCCCAGTGATGGTCCTGGAATAACAGGCTATGAACAGGAGGTGTATTACCATGTATATGGAGCCAGGACCAGAAACCCTATGAGGATATATTCCTTACCACATATAAAGGCAGCATTACTGGAGATCAAAACAGGCAAGTGTAAACTCATTTCATTTTTTTAAAAGGGTTTTATTAAGTATATTAAAGCTTCCAGAAGGTATATTGGAAAATGCTCAGGAACTCCTATCAACAACCTTTTTTACTGAACAGCCATAGGTGTATTTGACAGAAATAAAGAATATTAAAAACACAGCAACAAAAGCCTAAATATATTGTATAGATTTTGGTTTTCAGAGAAAATATAAGATATTAAATTTTATCCTTATGTAATATCTTACTGAAGTCAGTGGCCAAAGACCATTTTTCTTTAGCAGAACAAAAGATTTCACAGAAAAGGTTTTGTACAAGAAGAGTGATCTAAATTTAAGATTATAGTGTATTTATGAAAGTATTTCTACAAGTTATTCTTCATTCTACAAGTTATTCTTCATAGTGTGTATACAGATGATAATTAAATACAATTCTTCAGTGACAAAGTCATGAAAGACCTATCTGATCACATAAGGGTGCCACTGAAGCAAAGAAAGAGGAGATATAGCCTATAGACTGGTGTTAGCTTTGGATTTGAGTGATCTGCCTCAAAAGTCCTTGTTTTTATACAGTCACTTGGAGCTAAATCCACAAAAGGCTGATGATTCAACTACATCATGCCATGTTCAGCACCCATGGCTCTTGGGCAACAGCTGCTTATTATAAAATACATCAGTGCTTGCTGTCAGAGTCCGGATCTTCCCAGCTCAAAATTATTACCACTGGATGAGAGTCTCCTACGTGGCCTCAGCCACAGCTCTGCATCGCTGACCTTGGGGAACCTGATTTCATGCAACAGGATGGCACAAGGCCACCACGTATTGCGGTGCTGGCAACAGGGAGGTTCCTAACCCGGCCCAAACAAGGAGGAGGCAGCTGTGTTTGGCTTCCCTCCAGGACAGATGCAACCTAATCACGTTAAAAAATCATGGCACAAGGTTGCAGCTCCAAGACAGTGTTTAAAATCATTGATCCTGAGTAGTACGATGCACAAGGTAAGCAGGCTGCACCGCGGAGAGGGCTGTGGTTTAATGCACGATTATCCATGGTATTTCCTATTTTCTAGCGGGGGGTACCTGTGCTCAGCAGGCAGGCTCTCAGCTCCCCCCCCCCAGCTGCCAATGTTTTCCTTCATGCAGATGGCTGAGGTGCCCGACTCAGGGCAGCAGATCCCGTTTCAGGTCTGGCATGCCTCAGCTTTATGCACTGGTGCAATGATGCCCATAGCTCCTCTGTGCTTCGGTTCTACGTTTATACAATTAATTGTAACAACACCACCTCACCAGGATGTTGTAAAGAAAAAGCACACTAAAAATGGTAAGGCGCTCAGATATTGGATAATAAGGCCTGTGTAACCTCCTAGGGAAGATTTTAAAGAATTTGCACTGTTTAAATGTAGATCAGAGTTTAAGCCCTTTAAGACCAAGCTTCTGCCCCGCATAGAAAAAGGACCTGGAAGAAGGACTCCTGTAGCATGTCAGCCTTGTGCTGGCCCCCTGCATTATGCCACCTTTCTCAAGGCATTTTGCTAAATGTGGAGGTCCCTGAGAAAGTCTCTGGTCAAGCCATGAGGAGCCACCCCAAGTTAGCTCCTTCCTAACATGCTCTGGCCAGAAGGACAGGCTGTTGTGCTGCCACTTCACACACAGGTGTGTACTGCCCTCATTCTGTTCAGGCAGCTCCCTCATGTTGTATTAAAGATGAGTGTGAGGTCTATTTGACATTTCCATGAGGCAGAAGCGCAAGTCACAGTGCAGCTGCCAGTGGAAGGCAGCACCAAATCCCTGGGATAATTCTGACACTGCAGTTAAAGAGAGTTTTGACTGCCTGGTGAGAAGATCCAGCCACCACAGCACTCGATGCAAAGCCCATTCAGGCTGCTGGAAGGGCTCTACACTGACTCTGATGGCCGTTGGCCTTTTCAACGAGTAAAGCTGTAGTACTGGGAATAAAAGTGGGGTGTCAGTTACATCCTTACTCGGCCCCTCTGGAAAATGGGAAGTATCTGAAGAGATATGTTGCAGGACCTTTGGTATACTAATGGTACCGCACCATGTGTCCCAGAACTTTATAAGAAACTGGACTTGTTTCTCTTCTAGACTTCTCCTACAACAAAGAGGATGCATATGGCACAGCACAGGGCAAAATTTAAAAACCTAGTGTGATTTCACAGCTGGTGTCAAGTAACTCAGAAGTAACTTCCCATTCAGTCCATGAGAACAGTTTTAAACTTCATTTGTGCCATTCACTTCTTTCTTTTGTATTTCTTGTTCCTCTCTCAAAGGTTCCAGCTCAGGCCCATTCTGTGCTGTTTCTTTGTTCCAGTTATTTCTGCCTTCATTTTCTGTCCTTACAGATTTAGGGTCGTCTTCTTTTGCCTTTCTTTCCTTCTCCTCCTTGGCAAGCATACGATAATTATAATAATTCATGATGAACAGGAAGGTTCCTGCCAGGACCATCACAGCTCCGCATTTAATGAACATATATTTATAGTCCCCAAAGGTATCGATAAGAGTTCCTGTAAAACATATATTTAAAAAACCAAAACAACTTAGAGGTGAAGGCAAGAATATTGTGTTTTCGCATCCTAAATATAAAGGGGCACCCTTATGGCTTTAGGATAAAATAGGACATTCTCTGTACTTCTGATCTCTTCCACAAATACTGTGATCCTGCAAATACTTCACACATGTTCCACTATGTGGCCTGTGCGTAGTTAATGTTGATATAGGTAATATTACCAGTAATTTGTACAGTTAAGTAGAAGGGGACAGAGAACCTACATTGCAGAGTCTGGACTTTTCAGGGCACCTGTTTTTTCCACACAGAAACTAAGTCCTCTGATCACGAAGTCTGCAAGATAGCGTTTCCATTGACACCAATGATCGACTACAAGGATGTGCGTTTGACTTGGTAGTCCTCACGCTGCCAACAAAAGTGGCAGCTTTCGGGAAGACCTTCATGAGATGGCACCTGGCCACAGGGTCTCATCTCAGACTCTTGACAAAGACCCTCCAATTTATTCCACCACGGGTCATTCACTAGGATTAGAGGGGACTCAGCTTTTGGTCACAGCTGCCCTTTCAGAATTTACACTTGTGATCTATAGATGAAAGTGTACTGCGTGGAACTGGAAAACATTAGTTCCAGGGAAAGCAAAGATGAGATGATGCTGTCAGTGTCAGATAATTTCAAGGCCAAGACAAATGTGACAGTTTCCTCTCAAAGGTTAATGCCTCTGCTACGGAGTTACAGAGTAATTGAAGGGAGATGGCTTAATTGAAATGTCAGTGTTCTCCATTATGTCAAAATGTAATGCAAATCTTATTGGGATTATGATCCTGAGCATTAATTCCCATTTACTGGTGCAACACAGACCATTCTTAACATCTCAAATCCTAATTAAAGTAAGACCCACTCCTAACCTGGCCTTCACAGTATAGATAGTCCTCCTTGAAACTGACTCATCATCCATTAGCTCTCTGACTTTTTGGAGTATATTCTCCTCCTTAAGAGAAGGGACCTTCAATTACTTCCTGACTGACCTCTAATGTTGAAAAGCTGATGATTAATTATCCCACCACATCACGCTAACAAGTGATTTTATGGCCACAAAATAGATTTCTTGATTACAAAAATAATAATTTTAAACTGGTTTTGGTCACTGTTCTTCCTGAATCATTCCTAGACGTCTTGGTACACCATTTTCAATGCACTGTACTTTTCATGTTACTGGTGAAACATCAACCAAATGCTAATTGCAACATTTTTTCCTTTTCTGCTAATCAGAATAATGACCTAGAGGTCTCCTAAATAGGTTTCAATGAGAGTTTTAATGAGTATTGGAAAATTCAACAGTAGGATAGTCTTGCCTCTTTTCCTTTGAGAATAAGATAAAGTCATAAAACATACTGGGAACAATTTACTTAGTTCATTAAAGCAGAACCCTGCAGTAGGTTATTAAAATGCCAAAGAACCAATAAATTTGCTGCTTATTAAAATGGTGGGGAAAACCCTACAAAACTAATATTACTAATTATCACATAGAACTGGTTTAGCCTCATTAGCAGTCTATGGTCATTAACTTAATCTTCCACACAGAAAATTATGTCATTCAGAAAATGGTCATTTTAAAATTGTATTTTCTTTTGTTTGTCATTAATTAAATAATGCATCTCTAAGACAGCAAGAAGATACAGCTGCTTTTGTCACACTGTATGAGCTACATGGTAATATGAAGAATTAAATGGCTCTGCAAGATGTGTCATACAGAGTAGGAGCCAGATCTCCGTTTTGAATCCAGGAAATGGGTTTAAACTGCCTTCTTTCTGTGCATTTATTTTTATACCAACATATCAAAAGAATTAGCAGAGTTCAAATTTTATACACCCAAATACAGACAGCACACACAATTAAATGTTTTAGCCTATTTAAAGATGACCAGTTTCCAAACCAGTTATTCAAGCTTGCATACAGGTGAAATGCGAACTGCAGGATAGGGCACATAGATAGGGTGGTATCTATGCACTGAGAGGATGTCACCTATAAAGTCATTTAATTCACAGCCAGCTCGGATTTGGCAAGGGCTTTACTTGAGCCAAATGCTAGATTCAAATATGGTGTCTTCCAGACAAATATGGTGTGTTCCCTGTAGAAAAAGAAGCGAGCGCATGCTATAGAGGGAAAGAATCAGAAGCTGTTAAAATCACAGGAGATCACTGCTTCCACTTACCTTCAGGTGACTGTAAGCCCTGCTGGAGGTTCCACATTGTCAGCATGGACCTTTAAAGGTCTCTGCCTTTTGATATTTCAAAGCATACCATCCGAAATAAACCTCTCTTTAATTTCAGAACAGCCTTAAATCTATCAGATGCACTAAGATGAGTGAAATCCATGAGTGGAAGTACTCAGAGCCTTAGAGACAAATAGCAAGGGTTAGGTTTGAGTCAACAAGAGGATTTCATAGAACTGATGATTTTTACTGTGCTTAACTTGTGGTGGACTCCAGCCTTTTGCAACAGGAGTCTCCAGGAGGAGTTGTCAGAAGTGCAAGGTTCTGGGTGTTGCAGGAAGTCCCACTCTACAAGTTCATCTCAAGTGTTTAAAGGGGTCAGGGACTAAAAGATCACGCTCCAAACCATTGATGTCAACTGGAGAACTACACAGAAAGGAGTAAAGAGGAAATACTGGAGGCCATACCTAGGGACCTGCCTTCTTTGGCCAATAACTAGTGGAAAAACGATGGGTGAGAAGCAGAGAAAACACATTTAGAACCATTTCTTACAAAATGTGCTTGCAAGAGTCTACATATAAGCAACAACTCAGTGCAAGCAGAGGAAGAAAATACACTCACCTCCAATAGGTGGTCCCAGCAGTATTGTGCAGCACTCCGCAATGGTGACCAGGCCAACAGCGCTTGTGAACCGGGCAGCTCCCACAAGGTCCATGAGCGTTTCAAAGAGCATGGCACAAACCATGCCAAAGGCCAAGCCAAAAAAGATGGAGTAGATGACGAGCCCCGTGTAGCCAGAAGCCAGCGGGCACAGAAGGTGGCAGGCGCCATTGAAAGCGATGGAGAAGCTGAAAAAGTATTGAATCCGTGGCCTCACCCATTTGCTGTTTGCAATGATGCCAGTGGTAGGTCGCGCAATCATATCCACGATAGCAAGGATTGAAAGAAGGAATGCAGCTGAATATTCATCAATGCCAATGTGCTTTGCATAGGGTGCCAGAAAAACAATGGGGGCAAAAAAACCCAGGAACATGAGCACATTTCCGATTAGGTAAATCAAGAAGCCTCTGTGCTTAAAGAGGGAAAAATCAAGGTACTGATTGATTTTTTCACAACAGTCCTTTCCTCCTTCCTCTTCCATTTTGCCCTCCATGGGGACATTTGTGGGACTACTCATTTCCATGGCATCTTCAGTGACCTCTTCTTTCAGAGCACCCTTCCCTTCTTCAATCGACTGGGTTTTGACTGATGCTGTGGCAGCCCTGATGGGTCTGAAAAGAGCTCCTGCCACACAGCAGTGTAATAAAATTGCCTCAAAAATTAAAAAGCTGCCCCTCCAGCCAAAATTGTCAAAAAGGAACTGGTTGAGAGGAGCCAGGGTGCAAAGCATCACAGGGCTCCCTGCCATAGCAAGGCCATTCGCAATGGGTCTTCGCTTCAAGAAGTATTTCCCTATGATTATCACTGATGGCTGGAGGTTGAGAGCAAGACCAAATCCTGGAACAGAGAAACATAGTTGAGATAAACAAAGGAAGATGAGACCCATTTATCTTCATTCAGCTCATTATTTAAGGCAAATTCATGGACAGTTGGTCCACTAGTGGCTCTTGAACACTATAGTCTGGATGCAACCCTTGCTCAAGATAACCCTAAGCTTCTAGCTGACGCGTTTAGGTAACTGCACTCCAGAAAGACACTCTCAGTCAGAGGACACCCCGTCCTTTTGCCCTGCAAATCTCTTGGGTGGCAAACCTAGCACAAAGAGTTTGCTTCAGAATAAATTGAAACTACACCCTCAATGAAAGCTGTCTGGTTTTGTGCAGACACAGTAGCCTTGTTGGAGGAGAGGATCGATCTACTAAAAAAAATGACAACTCCCAGTTTGAGGAAGGTTGTTTTGGCTTGGACGGTGCTAACCACCAAAGAGCATCCTTCCCATGGGCAGCTGGGGCTGGGACCCCCTTCCACGGGCCGTGGGCACCCAATGCTACTGCCGGGCTGACAGACCACAGAAAATAACATCAGTCTTCTCAGCTGCTACTGATTTGATGGTGTGAGCAATTCACGTCTGATGCAAAAGATTAAGAGGTCTGCAAGTACACAGCAAAACAGCTACTGAAGATGCTAATTAAACAGGACCCTAGAGCATTTCTTTTAATTAAAATTTATTTTTATTGCTTTTACATATATAAATGGTATTATAAAGCTGCATTGGTAATTCAGTTAGCCAGCTTCTCTTGCACAGGTGAAATCTGAAGGCAGAGATACCAAATGCTGTGATGGTCTCAACTTTCTGTGGTTCTGTTTGAGAGCACTAGCATATAATAATCTTTTCTTTTCAAACATTTCCATGATGTGTAGTATTTCCTTAAAAAGTTAGATTTCCAGAATTCCATCAAAATGACATTTAAAAATCATGCCACATATTTTCCATCCTGTCATCCAAGAAAGAATGAGCCACATTAGAACAAAGCAGAAATGCAATCCTTGAAGTGATTATACCAAAGAACACGAATCCTGAAAATAGGGTCATGCAGATTTCTTCTTGTTCATTAGTCTATATAATTAGTTTGTTTAACTGTGCAGTACATAATTAGGCATATGGCTTTACAGAAGAGAATTTGGAAAGGTCAAGGTCCTCAAAATTAATTAAGGAACACTATCATTAGTCGCTGATAGAGTAGAATTCAACCAATGCAGCAGAATTGAACCAATGTTGGATAGCTTCAGTTTGAACTGTTTTACAAAATTTTGATTTTTGCCAAGTCTAAGAGTCTATTTTTTTAAATTACTTGGAAGTTTACAACATTAAAGATAAATTTAAATGGCAACACTTTAAAACTAGTCTTGACATGAAACACATTCTCAGCATGAACTGTTCCAGATAGGCCATAGATTTGGTAGAGCATGTCTTTGGGAAGCTCAGCCTGCTCATAACGCATAAGGGGACAAGTTCATGCCCGTGAGAGGGCTGACCTGGGAACTATGGAGGTAAAACACAGCCTTGGTTAGACAACACATGGTGTAACGGTGCTCAGATATAGGAATGCATCTTCCTTCACCTGAGAAAATACAACATAGTGGATTAGAGTTTGCTTTAACTCTGTATTTCCCAGGCTGGTAGGTAAGGGCAGAATCTGAACCATCTTTTCCACAGAATAATTTTTGGTAGGGACCTACCATATGTTGTGCAGAGAAGGAAAATCAGACTGGATGCCAGCTACCCACTTAAACAATAATCAACTCACATATTTTATTATGTGAACATTAATTTGCCAGTTGGACGAAACTAATTTAATATTACCTCATGCTCTTCCCATTAATTAAATTTGGAGAGCTGCAAATTGACTTGACTGGAATTTCAATTTACTTCAAGCTTTTGGCTGACTTTATTTGGAAATATTTATATGCATTTCATTCCAGTTTTCAGAAACTACAACAGCTTTTCCATGACTGAAATTGTTACTCAGATAACCACATTTTCTCCCCAGGGATATGACAGAGAGGTCTGTTGGTGGTGTTGCAAGAACAGAAGCAAGCCTGGGCCAGAGGAAGCATCCTTCCCTAGACTAAATACATCTTCCTCATATTAGAAAGAAGTAACTGGTGCCACAGGACTAAGCTGTGTAGCTATTGATCTTGTTCTTACTTTATTAGCAAGGAAAGGTCTTGGCAGGTATTTCAATGCTCAGCATTAACAGCTGAGGCAAAGACTGCAGTCTCATTAGTCAACATGCTCCACCCTGGATCCCATTTTATTTCATGGCGGTCTAATTGGTACAGATTGAACTAAACTCTGACCACTTGTTATTGCCTTGTATTTTGCTGCTTCTACCTCAGACTTGAACAAGAGGTTGCATGCCGAAACGCCTATTTAATGTACCCAGGCTGGCATTTATCCAGGTGGACAGCTTGCAAACCCCATTTCTTTTTCTAAGTGCTATAGGTAAAGGAGTGAGGAAGAGAACCTGGCTTTTACAGCATATGCAGAGTGCCTCATGCAGACCACAGCTCAGTGCTGTCAAGGACAGAGCTGCTTCAGAGCTGCCTCCGACAGCAGAGCCCGGTTCCTGCTCCGCATGCAAATGGAAAAAGACATAATCAAGACCGCAATTGAGATTGCCATGTCTAATCCCTCCACCGTAAACAGACACTTCCCTCTCTGCTCCTCTGAAGAGATTTCTATTAATATGCCAAAGGCACAGGACTGTAGTAGAGACCTCCTAGTACCAACTACCTTGTTTTTATCTCCATCCCTGTACCGTCATTGCAAATCACCTTTACAGAAGTCTCTCGTGCAGTAACGCTGTCTCAGCCACGTTATGAGCAGGCAGCTTCATAATTGCCCTTGAATGTTTCCGTGTTAGGCCTGACCAGTGAAAGCACTTCAAGCATAATTAGAGGCATCAAGCATGTTAGCAGGATCACAAGTCTTCCCTTCTCTGTCAACTTAATACTCCTTCCCCAGCACACACACCGTGCCTGGAAATGATGGGTTCTTAGCCAAGACCTCATCCTTACAGCCACCCTCATTCAGCAAGCGGGACGAAAAGACGTACACAACAAAAAATGTGCGTTGCTCTGAGGAGACATCACAGCATTAAAGACGAGGAGACATGGGGACGGTTTGCCCCTGTACCCTGTTGCTGGCATGAGGGTTACCTGCGTGCACTGAGCACAGCTCGTGCTGTCAGAGCTCTGGGGTGGGCAACAACCAGATTTGCAAAGATGTGCAAGGACCAAAAAAGAGCAGGGTCTTCATAACAGAATCACAGAATGGATTCATAAATTAGGGATTAGGCACAAAAATCTCTCCTGGCACGTTTTTAGACAAGTATCTTTGAAAATAGGTGTTGGTGCCTTCCTACAGCGCTGTTCCTTGCCTGAGCCCTTCTGCTCACCAAAATGCATGTATTTTTAGCAAAGGATTTACGGTTTCAATGTGCTAATCCTGCATTAGTCAACTTGCTAGAGGACATTTGTTTAGCAAGGAATGTTGCAAGCTCATGCATCAATAAATATTGAACTTATCCATGGGAGACATTGGTTATTTTTATTTTACATCACTTTGTTTCTGGAATCTCTTTCAAGGAACCTGCAAGATTCATTCAGTAATAACACAACAGCTTCATCTAACTACAGTGACTCTCCTTAGAAAGAGTAAGGTTCAAGAGAGTGAATTCTTCATTAAGATTTATCCACTAATGTACAGATTTAATAAAGCAATATCGGTTTAGGAGAACAGGGTGACAAACCTTCTGTCCCAATTTACTTTGCTAGTGGCTGGTTTTACTGATTTTAAATGTTGAGCTTGCACTTTTCATGTTCAGAAAGCAGCAACACAATGCAGCTGCAGAGAGATAAGGAACGTTCATTAAAACACACACCTTGAAACCTTAAAAGCCAATTTTGAACTCGTTCTCTCAAGTTTTCAGGCAGATGTCCTAGCTGCACTGGAAGAAACATTGGCTGTACCTTAGCCAAAATAATAAAGCAAAAGTGCTTACAGGTAAGCATCTATACTCACACAGGTGGAGAACTCCAATCCATCTACCTTTAAAAGCAATAATCCAGCACCTGCAGGCTTTAAAGATGCTGGACTGAGCCTATGCCTTCTCCTGTTTGAGTTTCCAATATGGAAATTCATATTTCAATTTCATATTACAATTGAAATGATAACTTCAATAAGGAAATATAGGGGGGTTTCTTCTCAATAGGGAGAATATTGCACTTTTTCAACCAACTCCAGTAGTTATTATTTTCAGATAAAGGACCTCCTAACCTCACAAGCAGGCAAAGGGCAAAGCAACCCCTGAAATCTCATTTCATATATCTCACAGACGGAAGAGAACGCACAGTAATATAGGAACACAGGTGCATTCTTCATAGTCGCACTTGTATCTCGAAGGGCTTGCCTTGCCCAGGGCAGAGCGCAGTCAACGTGTGTTTGCTTCAGCAGCAGCTGTGGGCACTGATGGCCATCCTCACCATTGCCGCTGGCTGAGATCACTCATCTGCAAAGAGCACATCCCCTGCTAAGATCCCGCACGCGATGTTCAGCCAGGAACACAGTGCTTGGCAGGGGATATGGCTCTTTGCTAAAGTTCATCCAGAAGAGTTACTAAGTGAGGGCCCTTGTCCCACCAGCTTTTCATCTCACCAGCTTCCCATTGCATTTGGGGGAGGTGCCAAAGTGTGGACACCCCACACCATCAGAAGTGAACCTCAATTGCGGGTGGAAAGGAGATGCTTTCTTCTTACCTGTAATGAAGCCCACGCAGATGTAGAGCTGCAGGATGCTGGTACAGAAGGCGGCTGAGACCATCCCGATGCCACACAGCAGGCCTCCGAATATAACCACGGGTCGGCTGCCATAGCGGTTTACTAAAATACTGCTAATGGGACCTGGGGAAAGAGTGCAAAATGGTCCCTGAGGTAGGTATCTTCTGACAGAAGGGCATGTTTGACACAAAGCAGGAAAAACTCTGCAATATCAGTGCCCCTGAGGTGCTGCTGACAGCTTCTAGGGTGACTTCAGGAACAAAGTGGAAAAAAAGAGAGAGATGATCCATGTTGCATGGAGATGGCAGCATGTCCCATGCCACACAGTGGCTGTGTAGTCGGTGACAGCTCCTGCCCCCAGGACTTTAAAGTGTCATCAGAGAAGGCAAACGGCAATAACAAATCAGTGAACACATGATCCCAGCATAGGAGCTTCTTGATTGATTATGATGCTGAACCAAACACACAAAGCAGTGGTTCATATTACGAGGCTGATATCACGAATACTGTTGCATTTTTAATGCCCCTATTTAATGCAATTCCGATACTGCTGACCAGGACTGAAGCTTCAGCAGAACAGTTGTTAATTAAATCTTAATGGCAGTCTATGTATGTAGAAACAATTTGGGATGATGGATTAGCCGGAGCTCAAAAGAACCAGTTTGGTCTTGCATTTATGTAAAGATGTGGTTCAGGAAAGTGCAAAATTATGAAAGTGGGAAATGGCTTAACAAAGACACTGCATTCTGAAAGGAAGCATTTACATCCGAGGAAGCGGAACATGCCAGCAGCTTTGGATGGAGGAGGAAAGGAGGGAGGTGTTGCATATAGTAGTCTCAACCAACTGGAGGACCAGTAAAAATCAGGATCACGGAACAATATATGTGAGGGAGACTTTGAAGGTCTCAGGACGAACCTCCTGCTCAAAGCAGAGCCACCTCTGAAGTTAGATCAGGCTGAGGAGTCAGAATGAAACAAAGCAAACTGAGCAGGAAAGAGCAGTCCAGAAGTCAAGCTATGAGATGTAAGAAAAAGATTCTATATTACTGAAAAACCCTGAACCAAAATGCTGCCAAAATGATGCTGGAAATGAAGCAGGGGGATACAGGCAGCATTCAGTATCTTTTCTTACCTGGTGCTACTCAGCACACAGCAATGGTGTTTCAGAGCCCAGTGTGCCTGTTTGCCTTCTTTTCTGCCGTTAGGAACAGCCCACGCTGTCCACATACAGATTACTGGAAATGGGTATTTTGAGCTTACAGGCGTCCCTGAAGAGTTTGACTGCGGGATCTACCTCACCACAGAGCCATTTGGTAGGATGTTTACCTTTGCTTAAATAATTTCAGCCAGAAATAGTGCCAGAGCTCTTCCCAGACCCTGCAAACCACAGCACACGAGCCAGACCCAAAAACCCCAATATCCCCTCAGCATGGCTGTCGGCATCCAAACAAGTTCTCAGCTGTTATAATGCGCAAGAATAAAAAAAAGTAGATATGACTGCTTTTATCTAGGGAATGAAGCCCATTGTTATATCTATAACATGTAAAATGCTTTCCACTAAATGTCTAAGGTCAAAACACTCAGAAATGAAACACACACAAGCACAGTATTAACAGCGTCCCTGTTACCGCGTGATCTGTGAGCTGGTCCCATCGAATGTGCCGTTCAATTAAAATTTCTGCAAGTGTATAATTATGTGAAGAGATTTTTTTTCTTCTAATCCTGTAACTGGATTCACATGCATGCAACTTTTTGCTGCACAGAGCACTACAGAATTCAGTGAGAAGTTCTGGGGAAAAGATACATATCTCAGATCAGCAATTCCCCTGGTCAGGGCTTGGATTTGCATCATGCTTGAGCTGGCCTCAGCGTGTCCTGTAATTCAATAGATTGACCCAGTGCTCCTCGGAAAGGCACCAACACATTCGTCTGCAGCCTAAGGGCACACAGCTCTTCCATTTTTCAATTTTCCACATGTCCGCGTTTCTCCAGAATCAATCTAATTACTCAGCTAAGAAAATGTGGTTTCAATTATCCCTCCTGCTGGAAGGGAGCTTTCACATCAGCCCTAAAACTACAGGATGTCATACCATGGAGCAGAGCATTTAAAGCCCACAAGATTTCTGCTAAGGCCCCTCTCCCGCTCTGATTCAGGACCATTCCTGGGGAGAGAAGCCCCTGCAATGAGAAGTAAACCAAAATGCTCTCATATGTCCCACTCTTGCAGCATCCACCTCAGGAGAAGGGGTATATGGATCCACGTCCCTCTCCAGTCCATAAGCTGTCGTATTGGCTTCAGCCATCAGTAAGGATGGGTTTGGACTATGACAGCAGATGTTGAGCTGGAAGGGGTTGAGGGTGGGTCACATTCTGCTCTGCTTCCTGGCTCCACAGACAACCCAGGGTAGAGGCTGGAGCAGACAAAAGCAAAAGTTCATATCCCAACCCCTGGCTTTACAAACAAGAGCACCCTTCTTGTACCCCTGGGGCACCCTCCACAAATGTGCAGTGTCCTCAACCGCATCCCAGCTTCCCAGCGATGCCTTACTAAGCCACGAGACCACAATTGCTCCCTGTTTTGTCTTGTGTGATCTCTCAGCAATGCTTTACAGCAGGTCTATGTGACCTTCAGGGAACGGCCTTCATCTGCTACAACCAGCATTATCGGTTTTGCGGGGGGATACTCGGTCCCATTTGTTTGCCAGTCCAGGTGGGAGAGCTGTGGTCTCAGAGGTGTTACCTGCCTGGGCTGGGCCGAGCTCACAGGGAACTGTGACGAACTTCAGAAGCAACACAAGCCTTTCTCCTTTGCTGCCTGAAACCTTAAGCCCAGGTCCTGCAAGCCTGCTTTGCTAAAGCACGGCGTACAGGATCACAGCACGCACTTGCGAGCGACAGTATTTGATGTCCCTGACCAGCCTCACCCACATAGGTCTGAGGGTTGGAGACCTCCAAGGTACTAAGTGCAGCCAGTTAGAGGACAAAACAGGAGCAGAGCATCTGGACTAAACCCTTCCAGCCACTGCAGAATCCACAGTAAAGGCCATGATGAGCACTCAATCTGCAGGGAAAGCATCAGCTAGTCCTACACTTTACGAGACACCAGAGAATCCAACCCAAGGCCTCAAACAGCTGGGAAAACAAACTTCCCTGAGCTGCTGCTCACAGGCCAAAGGTTTTGTAATAGTACTGAGCAGACCTTTCAAATGCAGTGAAGCAAATGCAAAAGCACATCCCCAAAATTACTTCCACTTAAGTCATTTGGACCTAGAGAAACGTCCGTAGGCCTTAATGGAGTAGCCTTTCAAAAGCTGTCCCTTCTCTCGGCCGAAGCTGGCGCACGCAATGTGTCACATAGCTGTGCACACTTCAGCACGCAAACCCTGCCAGTTTGGGCAGGCACACGAAGTGCAGATGTGCACACCTTCACCCTGGCCAGATGTCCTCCGTGATCAGCATCACACCCAACAGATCAAAACGCACCTCTCCTGCCCTGCTCTGCCACGTGCAACCCGTCGTGTATTTCTCATATGGGGCTGACTAGCCATCAAGCATTAGATAACTTTCACAGCAGTGTTCTGGGGAGCTCCAGAAAACATCAGCTAGCTCAAGTCAAGGCAGAGGAATTAAGAGGGAACAACAAAGCCAGCACCGCAGCTGTGGGAAATAGGAAACATGATTACTGCTTTGCTTGCAGCTATTGCAAAAATTAAAAGTGTGACAGCCCCTGGAAACACGGCGGAATTGAAAAGCAGAACCTGTCATTTAGCAGTTATTCAGTCTGCATGAAAAGAATAAAGATACTGTACATTACCACACAGAAACCAATTACGGTAACAACGTGAGCAGCTTAGCTCCCAAGGCACATTTACGTGCTAACACCTGCTTGGTCAAACGTGCAGGAACCACAGGCTCCCTGTCCTGACACCCAAGGTAAATCATCCTTCTCTTCTGCAAGCGGATGGCAGGAGAAGCTAACAGGATTTGGGGTGATTTTTGCCTCTTAATTTATAGATGCAGGTGAGGACAGGGCAAGAGAAACAGCTGGCAAAGCTCTCAGAAAGCTGCCATTTACCTGGCTTGACCTTGCAGAAGCAGCCACACGAACTCTGTCAGAGTCCCTGAAAAGTCACAGGAAGGAGCAAAAGCCATCTCAGCTGCTGAGCGTGTCCCCGATACATGGCTGCTCAGGGACCAGTGCAGCCAGGGCTAGTGTCACCCACCCAGCGCTGTCCCCACAACCCCACCACCACGGCAGCACCACAACTTCTAATGAGGAAATTTGAAGTAAAACTTAATCACCCTCTTGCACCCCAGTACGTCACAAGGACAAGGCTGCCGACACGGGGGTGGCAGCAGCCAGTGCTTCGCTGCGGGAAGGGATGGCATTTCCACCCAGCCAGCCTTAGGAAACCAGGCAGCCCCTTCCACAAGCCAGCAAGTGGCTGCCTCTCTCCTGGTCACCTTCCAGCTGTGGTGACTGTTTATCGTCCATCCCAAGGGGTGACACAGACAGCGGAGGGCACAGGGGATGCTGAGCCTCACCATGCAGGGTGCACACAAAAGGGGTTGTTCTGTCTGCAGTAAAACTCTGGAGAGCAACAGCTCGCAACAAATACCCCCTGAAGATGCTATTGGGATCATGGCACTCCTGGAAGACTGATGTAATGTAAAGCACTGTCCTCGGCCCATATAAATCATGCTGGTTTAGTGCCTGTCCTGTATAAAGCCTCTATTTTCTCATACCTGTGACAGATTTCCATTTGTTGTTAGTTGGTACATGAAAGGCCATGTCAAAGAAGCTGATCTCGGTGGCAAGCAAAACACAGCAACTCGCCGGTGGGAAATACAGCAAGCCCTAACTCATTTGTTAGCTTGTCCAATTACTGTTCACCTTGAGTTTTGTGTTTGAAGAAGTGAAAAGGACCCTGAAGAGGAGATTGTAAAACCATAAAGAAAATGCAAAATACCCTGGACTCTCCTCTCTTCTCCTCCACAAAGCCAGGCCATCTTGTCATTCATTCTATTTAAGCTGCTGAACTCTGATCCAGACAGGATCATAACGCAGAGTTGGCATTTCACAAGAAATATCAATCCAGAGTGGCTTAAACTTTCGCAAGTAT